CTCCCGACCTCGGTTCCCCTCGGCCCGGCGCGCTCCGCCCCCGCCCCAGCCCTCCCTATCCCTCGCAGACCGGCCCCGGCCGCCCGCCTCCGCCGCAGCAATGATGATGATGGCGCTGAGCAAGACCTTCGGGCAGAAGCCCGTCAAGTTCCAACTGGAGGACGACGGCGAGTTCTACATGATCGGCTCCGAGGTAGCCCGCGGCACGTCCTCGCCTTCCTCGGCCCAGGCCCCGCGGGAGCCCCGGGGCGGGTCCGTGCGCCGGGGGCGCGCATCTCCATTCATCGTGGCGGGCGGGCGCGTGCGCGTGCGAGTTGCGGAGCGTGGCTGCTGGGCGTGGCCGAACAGGCCCCGCCCCACACCTGTGGCCTGAGCCCAGGACACACCCTGCTGCCGGGCGTAGGGCTTCACGAGGTGTCACTGCTTCCGCGCTGAGTTAGTACGGTTCCAGCCAGACAAGAGGCGGAATGTTCGATTAGCTCCTGCGGCGTTTGACTGCCTTTGATCCTTTTAAGATGTTGCAAATCTCACGTGCACTCGTGCCTCCATTGCTACATGTGGGGTCCTGAAATCGCGGGTTGGAAACCCTAGGCAGTGAGGGCTCATCCCCATTGTGTTCGTGCCTCTGAGGTTGGCGGTGGAGGTGTTGTCTTTTGTTTACCAGTGAAGAAACAAGTTGGGAGGAGGATGCCTGCCCTAGTGCCCCAGCTGGATCTTTCAGCAATTCAGAAGTAATTGACATTTTGGATATCTGAACTGAATCTGAATTATTACTGGGGAAAGATCATGAGGATCTTTAATCCTTAACTAGAGTGGCAGCACTTTGTTGAATCAGCTGGATGCTGACTTTAGGAAAATTCTACAACTGGCCCTTCAATGGGGGTTTATGCTAAGTATATTAAAATTTCACGAGTTGTCTCAGAGTAGTTCTTTTTCGGTTGAGGGCAGTTCCCAGCTAGTTTATTTTAATGGGGGTTTATGCTAAGTATATTAAAATTTCACGAGTTGTCTCAGAGTAGTTCTTTTTCGGCTGAGGGCAGTTCCCAGCTAGTTTATTTTATTTTTTTTTTTTAAGTTATGGTTATACAATTAATATGTGCACATATTAAGCAGTAGAATTTCTCCCATGTAAAGAGGTAAGTACCAAACCTGGGATTAAAGTTGTTACAAAATGCCAAGGATTGCCTCTACTTCATTATCGTTCTCTAACAGTTTGTTAATGTTTTTAAATTTTTCGGTTTTTTCCTTCACAATTGAGCCTATATAGCGTGAATGAATGAAGCCTCATGATGGTCATGCTAAAGCTCTCGGGACACCCCCGTGATTCCTGTCTTGTCTTAGCCATCTTAAGTTGTGAGACCAATGTTGTGAGTAGCGTCAGAACTTTAGTGGTTCAATTTTTCACCATTTTTTTTAAAAACAAAAAGGGCAAGATGCAGTAAAATTTTCACATTATCACATAAATGCTGTTGTTTAAAGATGGCTGTTCTGGGGAAATGGGGCCAGTGCCTGTCCGTCTGTCACAGCTGAGAATGGGCCTCATTGGCTGGTAGGCACCTGCCTAAATGCAGGATACAAAAGGCAGTTGCGGAGCTTCGGTATGTGATACCGGCCAGGTTGTTTAAAGAAGCCTTTACCTTATCTAATGGATGGAACAGTAATCAGTTTGGCCTTGACTCTGAGTGGGCGATGCTTTTGAAAAGAAAGCTTTCCTTTATTAGATGGAGCAAATTGAGAAGCAGCATGTGGCTGGGTGGGAAAAACTTTGTGAGGCCTGGTTCCAGCCCTACTCTGCTTGGGTGTCACTGTTCTCATGTGTATAATAAGATGCTTAGACTGGATGATCTTTAAGGTCTTCCCCCAAACACATTTTCGTTTCTACACAGCTAACTGCCGTCTTTTATTTCAGCCTCTTCATTTCTGCCCTCCCTCTTGAGAGAGAATAATCATCCTGAGACCCAGGTGGATAGGTGGTTTGTTCTCTTGGGCATGGCTTCACAATTATCAGACCTTTAGAATTTAGGGAAGAGTTCAGGATCAGAACTGCTGTCTATTGATATATAGTAGCTCCCGTGACAGTACTGGATGGATGGCCTCCAGCCCCCTTCCCTATGGAAAATGTATTCAGAGAGGTGGACCAGCCATAGTAACTCAGCACCTGTGTGTGACATTCCTGGAGTTGCCTTGGGAGGTCGCCTGCAGTTGCTATGAGTGAGTGTGTCACTGTTCTCCCACCATCGGCAGGAAGCCATATTCCCAAAGCCAGAGTCACAGAGCTGAGAAGACCCTAACAAATCCCCAAGTACAGCATCTTCATTTCACATTCTGGGAACCTGGGTCCAGAGAGGGCAAAGTCTGGTTCAGAGAAAAGCCAGAAAGGCAGGCCCCAGGCTCCTAAGTTCTGAAGGAGCCTTGGGAGGAGGGGCCTAGGAGTCCTAGAGCCCTGCAGGACCTGCAGGGTAGTTGTGGGGGGGCAGTATTGTCAATTTGCTTTCAAAAACCTCATGGAAACTGTATGTTTCCCTTGAATGGTAACCACACAAGCCAGATCATGCTGAGGAGTCTGTGTTCTCTGTGGAACACAAGTGATTCACTGTGGCTGTTTTCTCACAGTGTTCAGCAGCTCTGGTTGTTGATCTCATAAATCTTTCATTAATGAAAAATGGAGAGATAGATTTTTATTTAATAAATATACTATGCTGGGTAGGTAAAATGGAAGAAGTTATAGAAGTGGTCCTTCAT